TTACCCCGTCCGGACTGTGAGCTCTCCCAGGTGTGAGCCCGGCCTAGGAGGGCCGGGGGCGAACTCACAGTCACTTCTGTGCTGGGGGTGGGGGGCAGACCGCACCCCGTTCCTGCCGCTGGGCCGGTCCAGGGGCTGTGGAGCATCGTGTTTCTTCCAGGCTCCGCCACACCAAGCAGGCCGTGAAGGCTGCCCTGGCGGACGACTTCGACACGCCCGCGGCCGTGGACGCCGTCATGGACCTCATTCACCACGGGAACAGACAGCTGAAGGCGCACGCTAAGGTGCGTCCCCAGACGGGGCTGTAGGGTAGGTGGTATGGTGGGGCTTCCCTTGTCGGGAAGGCACAGCCACCACCCTGCCAGCTCCCTGCAGTGGCCTCCAGGCCCCCCCAACCCCGACTTGCGCGAGCTTCTTCGTCCTGCACGGGGCTGTGCGCCGCCCCCCGCCCAGAGCAGGGAGGTCCTGCACACGGACAGGTGGCCTCCCGTGTTTGCCACCACGGGAAGCGTGGCATCCTCCCGTTTGCTCAGAGGAACGCTGTGGAAGCTGAGCTTGCTGGCACGTGAGATAGGACATGGGGGGAAGCTGTGTGTGGACCCCACTGTGCCCATGCAGCCTGGCCCTGCTCTAGGCTTGGCACCAGTCCCATCGATGGGTCTCTGTGCGTGCGCCAGTGACCTCCCAGAGACCTGCCCGCTAACACTGTCACATGGGGGGTTAGGTTTCAGCATCTGGATCTGGGGGACACCAGCATGCAGGCCCTAGCAGATCGCCATCTTACAGAGGGGCAGACGGAGGCGCAGGGTTCCGTGGCGTGCCAGTGAGGGGCCCCGCCGGGGACGTCCCCGCCGCACGAGGCATGGCCCAGCGACGGGAGCAGCGACCGGCTGCGTCCCTGTGTCTTTTTCGTCGTTTCCTGGGCTCTTCACGTGCCTCCTCTGGGTGATGTGTCACAGGAACCTGGCGGCCCCAGGAGTCCTGCCGTGTTTGGCTCCATCGTGTCCTACATCGAACAGTTCTTCGAGACCGTCGGGATTTCTCTGGCAGTCAGACAGGTACAACCTGCCCTTCTCAGCCCTCGCCTGGGGGAGGACGCCTGTGTAGTCACCACTGTCTCCTCCCCTTTTATGTTCATTTTAATGGACAATTGTGTCGAATTTATTTACGTGCCTAAAATACGTTCCTGAAAAAGCAAACAGGCTCAGAGCTAGTGTTTTATGACCTGACGCTGCAGGGATTCCGAGCAGAACCCGCGGCCCCGCTTGGCTGCACACCGTGTGCTATCCGTCTGCACATGTTCTTTTCCTCTGTTTCTTCTGAGACTCGGTGCAGCTGGGTGCACAGTAGGACACTTTCCGGCCGAGCCCCTCGCTGTCTCCCGTGCAGGGGTCTGTGCCGTCCCCCCACTCCCCACCCGGCCAGCCTCCTCCCCGCTCAGGCAGCCTTCCGCACGACGCCCCTCCTCTGCCCGGGGCCCCGCTCCTCCCCAGCACCCTCCCCAGCACCCTCCCTGCCCTGCTCCACCGTGAGGCCACTTTTAGACACTGGGTGAGCAGGTCGTGAACATGGAAAGGTCCAGGCTCCATCATCCGTATGCTGGGACCACTCACTCTTCCCAGATCGCGCTGTGGAGGCCACATGGTGCCTGGCCCTTGTCAGAAACTGCTCGCTCACCTCCCCCTCCTCGACAGTGGACACTGGATCCTGCTTTGGGCTCATGTTTTTTGTGACCAGAAATACGGTCCTTTATCGCGGAAGCAGTAACTGAGGATTCTGTAGGTTTGAGAAGCCTGACCCCGAGGAGAATGTGTTGTTTCTTTCACACCCGCGAGCACAGACAGGCGCTCGGATCCCCTCCCCGTAACGAAGAAGTCGTGTAGGTGGGAGAGGGCCTGGCCCACTGAGACCCGCCGCTGGGCGTGGAGACGGTCTGTGAACCGGCAGTGAGCGCGCACGTGCGCGCAACCCACACACGAGGTGGACGTTGCTTTCTGTGTTTGGTCAGAGGAACAGATTCGGTTTCAGGAGTCAGCATGGCTTGCACTCCCAGACTACCTAGGGAGCCAGCTGATAAAGACCCCCCCACCCGAGACGTTAGCGCATCTGGGATGGGAGGAGGGCTGCCCCGCCAGGTTGGCCTCATGGAGACCGCTCCCGAGGACACGGACAAGGGAGCCCTGGGTGTGCACCTGCTGGCGGCGTTGGGGAGCTTGGCCTGGTGAGCAGGGCGTGCAGGCCAGGAGAGCCCTGGGGAGCACGTGTGCTGGGTCGGCTTGGCGCTGAGCCCCCTCCCCCACGCCCCCTGCCAATTGGGCCCCACCGTGTGGGCAGCTACCAGGGCCCTGCTGACCGCGCCGCTCTGCCTGGTGTAGTCTGTTTCAGGGGACGACAGCCGGGCCACTCTGCACAGCGTGGTGGAGCAGCTGGTCCAGTTCCGGCTGCAGGTCCGGCAGTTCGCCCTGGCCTCGGGAGTGGCCACCACGGAGACCCGACGGCAGGAGCTGCTGGACACACAGCCCCTGCTGGAGGCGTGTGACGCTCTGCGCCGGGACCTCGTCGCCCACGGCATCAGCATTAAGGTGAGCTGCTGGGCACCGTCACCCCGACGAACTGTGTAAACCGGGCGGCATCGCACAAACGTGGACCAGGCAGAGCCCGGACGTCCCGAGCCCCCGCCCCCAGTGCCGTCAGGAGGGCCCTGTGGAGGCAGCGGGTGGGTACTGAGCCCTGACTGGCCCACTTTTCCCTGGTGCTTCCTCCCCAGGACAGGAGCAGCACGTCCACATGGGAGCTGATCAGAGGACAGACGACCTCAGACCGGCGAGCTGACGGCCCCCAGCACCGTCCTGTGCTTACATGAAAGTTTCCCGTTGTGGCTGCTCAATCACCATTAAAGTCAGTCCAACCGATACCATGTGCCTGAGAAGTGGATTCTTCACGGGCCAACACTGGTCCTGATGCTGGCCCCTGGGCCCCGTCATGTGAGGACCGTGAGCCGTGGGCGGAGGATGTAAGTCCTACAAGGGGTCCGGGGCAGTGCTGAACTAGGGATGAGGACCCTGAACGGGGCATCCCTCCCCCGCAGGGGGAGGTGGTCTTCCTACATTTATTTCTGTTACAAAAGTAATGTGTTCACCATAGAAAACCAACGTGTGCTGGATGCACCGGTGAGAGCAAGACACAGGTCTGACCGCAGAGCAGGAGGCAGAACCAGCGCCCACACCGCGCGGCCCGCACCCCGCTCTCGGTCCCTGGCCAGGCCGCCCTAAGTCCGGTACTGTCGAGCGCGCATGCCCTGCGGGCGCAGTGCCCAAGTACACACTAGGCACAGTGGTGACGCTCCACAGCCGCATTCCCTGGTCACTGACCTTCAGGACCCCAGAAGGCACTGGTGGCCTAGTCTACAGGTGAGGAAACCCGCTCAGAAATGGACTTGCTGACAGTGACCCAGCTCGCGCAAAGAACCCACCTGGCAGGTAGGCCCTTGACGAGGACACCAAAACAGCGTCTCTTCAGTAAAGGGGATTACTGTCCCGATGGCCAGATGCCGAACCTGGCTACCCCAGTGTACTTCCGTGCTCTGCGATCTTGGTCTCAGGGTAAAAGCATGTCCTTAGCTGGAGCTAGTAGGTCCCTATGGGTTATTTTTAAATCAACCACTAGCTACTTGAATATACTCCTCATTCCCATTTGAGAATTTGTACTTACTCAGATCAAAAACATAAAAATAGTTCTGTGACTCCTGATTTTTACCTTCTGTGGAACGAAAGGACTACATTTTAACAAGGTTGGTAGGCACAGGTGAAAATTGACAAATAGGCTTTTACATGTTTGTCTTCCTGCTGACAGGAAAGCTGAAAGGTAGGTGGGTTTGGGCTCTGTAAGAAAAAAAGAAAACTCCGCATTGAAATAAGCCAGATTTGCCTTTTAATGGTTACCAGGATTTAGATGTAATTTCCCAAAAGAAAATACAGTGACGCTTCTCAATTACATATGAAACAAGAGTGGCAAACATTTTAAGAAATCTGGTTTTAAAATAGGATCGGGTTGGGGGGTGGGGGCATCTGAATCAGAGCATCAGCCAAGGAGGACATAAGGGATCCACGCAGGTCCGGTCCTTGTAGAGAGCATCGTGAAACCTGCAGAAGTACTCACATGTGCAGGAACCGACCCTAGGGAAACAGACACCGGAGAAGCAGCTCTCTGGCCGCAGAGAAAACCATCCACCCAAAGCACCATCCAGAAGCCAACCAGAGGCTAACAAGGCATCTCGCAGACAGCACTTCTTTAACGGAATCTATTCCTGAGGACACACCCACTTTCAACGACAGTGTTCAGTCCCCCCATTCGGGTGCCCTCCAAATGTCCAGCTTTGTCTGCCTCCTCCCGAGAGCACACGGATGGGCCACATCCCAAACGAGGGCTCTGTGACTCCCCCGGGCGTGCTTCCTGCCACCACGGACTCGGGTGCGTGCGCACAGAGGAGAGGGCAGAGCCGCGGGTATCCCAGAGCCCCACCCGCGTGCTCTGGGCTCAGTGTCCCGTTTCCTCCAAAAAACAGATCATTGATTGTTCTGAAATATTTCAATTAAGCACAACCACTAATGCTTCCTATTTCTGCCCAATTTCACCTAATCAGTGTTCAAAATAGCTACAAGAGGCTTTTTTAAACCGGATCAACAGGATCCCCGTGAGGGGCATCCACTGCAGACACATGGGAAGCACGTGGGTAGGGAGGAGGGGGACAAATGAGCCCAGAGGGCCCGTGGTCCCGGAGCGCACACAAAGCTCAGCGGCTCGTTTCCTGCTGAGTAGCTAAGAAAAGTTCAGGGATACTTGGTTTGGTGTCACTGTAACATCTCCAGCTCCACATGTAGCCAAACATCCACCCATGGACCCCGTTGCTCTGCTAGCCCGAGGACTGGGACACAGGACGTGCGTTCCTGGACAAACGCAGCCTCCCCGTCCGTGTGCTGCTGGCTTCCCAGTGCCGCAGCTCAGGCTTCAAAGAGTCTGCGGAAAGCGGGCCCGACCTCCGCAATCATGTCGGTGGTGGTGGTGGAGCGGCCGTGCTTCTGGAAGGCCTGGTGGCTGCACTGCCTTGTGAGAGAGCACGCACCCACGGCAGCCAGGAGGAGAGGGCTGCACCTGGAGGGGGATGAGCATCAGACAGCAGGGGCCCCCCAACGCTGGTCGAGGTTTACAGTGATCTGCAGCACCAGGGAGGACTACCGAAGATCTGAGAACGTGGGTTCCCGCCCCCCTCAGCAGATGCCTGTAGAGCTTTTGTTTCCACGTGTACACGCCAGGCAGGGACCTGCCCCCCCGCTGTGCCACCACCCCATGGCCTCGCATGGCTTCACAGGTGGGGGGGGCTCCAGACCAAGGACACCCCGCCCCAGCACAGGTGGCCACCACCGTCCCACGATGGGTGTAGAAGACAGGGGCCCTGGAGAACTGGACCCTGCCTGCGCTCACGGCTCTGACAGTGGATGCGGGCCAAGCCTGCTTCTCTGAGTTCTGTCTCCTACAGAAAACTCCCATCTTGCCAGACAGTAGTCATGGCCAGCTCACCTCTGCCCTGACGGTTTCTGTTCCACTGTTTTGCTTTACAGAGGATACAGATCACACCGCCCAGAACAGGGTCGCCCCAAAGCCATCAGCACTGAGCCACAGGGCAGGGTCCCGACCGCCCACGGAGCAAGAGCACCCCTGCCCTGGGATCTCTTCCGCGGGACACCGATGTTTGACAAGGCTACGCATTAAACGTATGGGCAACCTGAATGGCTCGCATGATTCAAAACTCGGGGGGGGGGGGGGGGAGGCAAGCGAAGATGTCACATACCCATTTGTCTTCTCGGGTCCGGCGAGCAGTGCCCAGTGAACCAGGACACCCAGGGCGCCTGACAGCAGGTCTCCCTGGCCGCCACACCGGCGGCTGCTGCCCTCCTGGGCACACTCGAGCACTGTGGGGTGAGAGGGACACGGCCGTCAGGGGACGAGCTCGCCCGTGCCCGAGGCGCCACCCCAATCCATGGCAGCTCCTCCCATATGTTCTTAACCAGGCGGCCTGGTTTACAAGAGAGCAGACCCAGGCCGGCCCAGAAGCACCTGCCTGTGTGGCGCAGGCGGCAAGCAGACTAGTCCAACTCAGGCCTGCTGGAGCAGATGGGGAGAGGCGCATAGGTACCCGGGGTCCTCGGGCCACAGGCCCCTGGAGCCTGGGCTGCCCACAGCCCCTCGGGGACATGCGCCATCTTCAAGGAGGTGTGTGCCACACTAGCACCCCTGCGCAGACCCAGCCAGCGGCTGCTCATCCATTTATGCTGTGTAACCAGCAGCTACTTCGAAAATGTGTGGTTATATCCCCTCAACGTGTCAGAGTCTAAAGCACTTTCCAACAACGTGAACTCCAAAGGTTTCTGGGTCCCTCAGAGAACACTCCCTCAGTGTTTCCTGTCCAGGGTCGGGAGCATGCGAGTGAGCCTCCCGCTCCCCGGTCAGCAGGCCTACACCACGACAGCAATTCTGTATTACGTCCTGTTACAATAACGAGTGCGCTCCCTGCCTCCCACTCAGACTACGTGAGGGGAGGGCCTGGCTGCGGGGCACCAGGGAGGCTCCGCACCTCACGGTCACTGACACCCACCATAATCTCCCCCTGCTGTTCCCACTGGACAGCTGGCAGGCCCCGGGGAGAGAACGAGGGGGAAGCTGCCACACATCCAGCACCTGGCGACCTCCTCCACCCGCATCAGCTCCCAGCTCCCTCATTTCCAGCCCTTCTTAGAACAAGATGCAGTGGAACATTCCTGTAACCGCCTCTACGGCGCTGGCAGGCGGGCCGGGGGCCCTGGAGCGCCACCTGCCGGTAGGGCCCCCCTGCATGGTTTCTCCCAGATGGCGACAGTACTAGCCGCTGCACCTGACATCAACAAGGATGAACACTTGGCGTGGTCCCCGCCCTTTACAAAACAGAGAAATAAAACCAAGCTCAGCGGGAAGCCCCTGTGTGGAAAACGGGGGACACAAAAGACACCGCGTGTCACAACACTGGTTTTCCAGGGGCTGGTGCCCAGCACCACCACACTGAGTGACACGTGTGAAGCCCACAGCTACCCACCCTGTTCACCGTCCGAGAGCACGTCCCGCTCCCCTTTCCGGACCACCGTCACATTCCCCAAGGCCTGGCTGAGTCTCCGTACAGCTTCTCGATCGCTGCCGTTCCCAGGCTCTCTCAGCTGCAAGGTGGGACAGCACGGACCGGGCCGTTGTCAGACACAGGAAAAGAGCCCACTGTCACAGGTACATCCTGTCTACCCTGATCCTCAGACCACCCCCCGACCACACACACATACACTCTCTCCGCCAAGAGCTCCAGCCCCACACATGGAAAGGCACAACACATCCACTAGGGGGAAGCAGGCCCAGAAGAGCTGGACAGCAAGGTCCTCGGGTGGATGCACAAACACCGCTCAGGTACCCTCCCCCTACCTTTGGATCACAGTTAGGGGACACTGGCCAAGGCTGGAGTTTCACAGGTTTGCAGAGGTGACAACTCTGAATAATCACGCATTAACATCTATGGGACGCTTACTACGTAAGAACTCGGGGGTTTACATTCATCATCCCATTTCGTCCTCAGACCCTACGAAGCGATGCTCTCAGGACCAACAGTTCACAGGCGAGGCAACGCAGGACAGGGATGGAGTGCTCCGCCCAGAGCCCAGCACCCCGCCTCTCCCCCGTCAGAGATGTACTAGGGAGAAGATCCCCGTCATTCCATGCACCACCGAGAAAGAAGAGCGCTGCTGGCATGTGGGAAACATGCGTCTCCTTGCTGGCCATCTGCAAGTCCGCCTCTGCAGGGGCAGCTGGGGCAGCAGCAGAGCCGTCCCTCACCCCTCCTCAGGGTGGGGAGGGCTTACACCCCATCTTTTGGGCGGTCAGCAAACTCACCACAGCTTCAGAGAGTCTGTTGAATTCCACGTGGTTGGGAGTGAGAACAGCCTTCCGGTAGCCCTGGATGAGGGCTGGGTGCTGAGCGATCAGCCACAGCCCGTCCTACAGACAAGGACAGGTACATACAGCACGACCTTAGGGGCCTGGCTGGGAGAAGGGGCAGGAGAGGAGAGTCACACTCACTGCATCGATGACGACGGGGATGTCCCTGGCCTTGGCTGCTTCTAAAATGCCCTGCAAGGAAAGAAAGACATGCTGAGCAACAAGGCCATCACCCCTCAGTGGAATTAAAAGAAGACCAAGCAAGCAGTACCTTGAACTGCAACATCAAGTCATCAACAAACACAAAGAAAATGATAAATGCATGCAATAAACAGAAAAAGACCCAAATGAACGGACAGCAGCCCCCCTGTAAGGCAGGGGCCCTGGGAACTCTGGAACTCTGGAGTCCGTGGGAAGCCCAATACACAGCGCTGGGCCAGGCGAGCCCATGGAGGCTGACCGCAATCTAGAGGCTCCAAGTGTCCCACCAACATTAATCCTCAGGGTTCCCAGATGAAAAATCTCAAGTCTGCAGAATTCCCCCAAATCGTGAGTTTTTATGCATTCTTTCTAACTCTGTGTTTTAAAATAAGTGACAATAATAAAAGTCAGTCACCTCTCTGCAAAAGTTATACTAAAGTCTGAGGTTTTTTGCCAAATTACATATCTACAATCAACATGCATACGGTCACTTATTATGAACCACTATTTTACAAGATGACACGTTGCAATAGCATGTAAAACCATCTCCCCCTGAAACACACACTTGAAAGTAGAAAACATCGAGTCAAGACCCCCACTCCAGGATGCCTGTGTCCTTACAAGAGGAGGAGACCGGCACACAGACAACATGGACACAACCAGATGAGGACACAGGGGGCAGGCAGCCGGCCATCTACCAGCCAAGGACAGGGGCCTCAGAAAAAAAACCAAACCTGCTGACACTTTGCTCGCGGACATCCTCTAGGACTGGAAGAAAACAGACGTCTGCGCTTTTAAGCCCCCGCCTGCGGTGTTCTGCCGAGGCGGCCCCAACAAGCACAGACAGACATCCTCCATCATTTCCAGTGCCCCACCCCGCCCCCGACAGCATGGACTCCCTAGGAAGTGCCTTCTGGCCCCAAGAGGAAAAACCAAGGAACCAGCAAATAAATCCTGGACAAGGGAAGGCTGCTCTAATGGCCCTGAGTCATCTTAAAGAAGTGTTGACCTCTTCGTGAGACAGCTTCTGACTGAGGCTCCAAGTGAAACGAGTCCACAGATAGCGACTGGGCGTCTAGGACATCACCAGGACACAGTTCCGGACCCCAGCAAAGCTGCTGGGACTGAAAGATATGGGCTCAGAGTCCAAAAGACTCAGAGTTGTGTGAACTTGAATAAAATCACTTTACTTCTCTGAAACTCCATCTTCTGGTCTATAAAATGAGGATATTGTCTCAAATTTTTTTTAAGATTTTGTCAGAGACGGCGCGCGTGCGCTCATGAGCACTTAAGCAGGGGGAGCAGCAGAGGGAGAGGGAGAAGCAGGCTCCCGGTGGAGCAGGGAGCCTGATGTGGGGCTCGATCCCAGGACCCTGGGATCATGACCTGAGCCAAAGGCAGAGGCTTAACCAACTGAGCCACCCAGGCGCCCCTCATATAATACTTTGAAGTTTGTATGCGGATGAGAAATACCAACTCTAAAGAGGTACCCAGTTCTTGGCAAGGTAGTTGGCAGGCCACAAGTGGCGGCTGCAGGGGAGGCCACCTGCCGGCATCGCCATCGCCAATCTCACCTATGGGATGGACGGCAAAGGGGGGAAGGAGCCGCACCACCACAGGTCAGAAGAGGCTGGGTGCTGGCCGAGCAGTGGCCCCATGTGTCTGGCAGTAAGTCCAGCTACAGTCAGTCGGGGGCGCTCCCACGTGGGAGGTGGCGCCAGGGCAGGGGGAGGGACCCCGGAGCAGAGGCCGGGCAAGGGCAGCCCTGTAGGGGAGAGGGGGCTGCTGCAGCTGCCACCACCTGGCCATACAGCACCTAGACGTTTATCCTGAAGGACACACCCAAAAGAGATGGACAAACATAGGTGCAGAAATGTTTGAGACATCACTACCATGTTAAGAAAAAGCTGTAAACCACCTAAGTGAACTACTTAAATACGGTATATGGTGATATAGCTATTAAAAACCCTGACAAACATGTACATATTCTACCCGGGAAAAGCCTCCAGGACTCATTACATAGGAGCATAAAGAGCATGAGGGGAGTTAGCCAAGAGCCCCCATACTAGATCCAGAAACTGCAGATCAAAACCAGCGTATAACGTGGAGGGCTGAGTACCACCAGCAGCAGCAAGCCCTCCCCCCAGCTCATCTACACGTTCAGCATGTTCCCCGTCAGAATCCCCAATGCCTCTTCCGGTCCTAAAACCCCTGTGGACATCACAGGACCCCCAGCAGGCCAAATACTCCGGACGCAAACAAGGCCAGCAGGATCACACAGCTGCCGCCATCAGGACTGGGTGTGGCGGCACAGGGACAGCCATACAACTCCATGAACAGAGACGAGAGCCCCGAAATACACCCCTGCCTTTCTGTCCAGACTTTCAACAAGGCTGCCCAGATACAAGCGGAGTGGTGCTGGAACAGAATATCTACTCCCTACCCCAGACACAAAAATGTACTCAAAATGGACCACAGATCTACATATAAAAGCTAAAATAAAGCTCTCAAAACACATGACTTGATCAGAATTAAAAATTCATGCTTTAAAAAAAAAAAAATGCAGCAAACAGGAGTTCCTCCAAATGTGAAGCAGGGTTATCACCAAAGTCTGTACACGAAGATTCGGAGAACTGCTCGCAACAGCCAGAGCGGAAGCCACCCAATCGTCCGTCACGTGCTGGGTAAACCAAACGTGGTCCACCCGCACAAGGGAATATCCAACAAGGAGAGGAGCGGAGCACTGACCCCCAGATGCTGCCGAGTGAACACAGCTGGCCACAAGCACCGCGTCCTGTAAGACCGCATTGCCCCAAAAGGTCAGGAATTGGCAAATCCACAGACTGCAGGTGGAGGAGTGGACGCCAGGCTCTGAGGAGTTTGAAAGGAAAAGGGAGCAGTTGCTAAAAGATGTGGAGGGTTTCTTTCTGGGATGATGAGAATGTTCTAAAACGGATCATGGTAGTGGCTGTACAACTGCGAAGGTACTTAGAAACCACAGAACTGGGGGCGCCTGGGTGGCTCAGTCGTTAAGCGTTTGCCTTCAGCTCAGGTCATGATCCCAGAGTCCTGGGATCGAGTCCCATATCGGGCTCCCTGCTCCACGGGGAACCTGCTTCTCCCTCTCCCTCTGCCCCTGCTTGTGTTCCCTCTCTTGCTGTGTCTGTCAGATAAATAAAATCTTAAAAAAAAAAAAAGAAACCACGAAATTGGACGCTTTAAATGTGTGAATTGTGTGGCTGTAAAAACTCTGAAACTGAAATTAAGAACTCAGCAACTTACGACATGGCCACTTCAGGGGTGTAATTTAATTTCTCCAACTTAATTTCCTCATCAGAAAAAGGAAGATAATGGGGCGCCTGGGTGGCTCAGTCGTTAAGCATCTGCCTTCGGCTCAGGCCACGATCCCAGGGTGCCGGGATCAAGCCCCATGTCAGGCTCCCTGCTCAGCGGGGACTCTGCTTCTCTCTCTAGGCCCACTGCCCCTGATTGTGCTCTGTGAAGTAAAATCTTTAAAAAAAAAAAAAAAAAAAAATGATAAGGAGAGAAATCTATCTAATAGGGCTGTTTTCAGGATTGCACCAGATAATGAATTTGTTCAGGAAACATCTAGTAAGTGTCTGCTATGGAGCAGGCAGCATGCGGGAAACAGCATCCAGGCTCCTTCCTTTGTAAAATGGGGAGAATACGAGCACCAACAGGAGGGCTGCTGTGGGAACGGAGGGTAGCAATAGAAAGCACACAGAAAACGCACCCAATGTGAGGGTACAAGTCACAGACTGTACCGAGCACCATAACCCAGCAGAACATAAGGAAAACAGAGCCGAGCGGATGAGAAAGGTACACGGCCGTCTCGGGTCCTCCGGCCAGTGCTGGGTGTGGCCCTTGCACACGTATTTGTCCCAAGGGAGAAAAATACTTATGAGGAATTCTGGTAAAATCCAAGCACGTTTTCCCACTCATTTAAACCGTTGTTTCAAAAATAAGTTCATTTCTCATCACTGATCTTAAGTTTTCTCTGCACATGAAATCTTCTGCTGAGGAATGAAGTGGCCAACACTTGGGGAGCCCAGGGAGACGTGGGTGAGGGTGAGGCGTTGATGCCCGGCGTGGCAGCTCCTCGGAGGTGGGCAATGCCTAGGTGTCAGGTGGACGGCACAGAAAGCCACGCTGCCCCGGCAGGGCAGGCTCAGGGCCTGCAGCTCACCATGGAAGCCGAGAGGGCGTCTCCGTTTGCGGTTCTGTTCCAGAGACACCCTGACAAGTGGCTTCCTGATGCAAATCGCCATCAGACCATGCAGAGTCCGCTCAAGCTGCTGTGACAAATGCCACAGGGTGGGTGGCTTGGAAAAACAGGAATGCACTGCTCATAGTTCTGGAAGCTACAAGTCCAAGATGGGGGTGCCGGGGGAGGGTCTCCTACAGGTCACAGACCACTCGCTGTGTCCTCACCTGGTGGAAGGGGAAGGGAGCTCTGGGGGCCCCTTTATAAGGGCATGAGTCCCATTCAGGAGGCTGCTCCACCCTCACGACACAACCACCCCCCTCAGAGGCCTCACTTCCTGACACCTCACCTTGGGGGTGAGGCTTCCAATACATGGATCTGGGGGGACATGCGTTCAGGCCGCAGCGTAGTCACCGACAGCCTACGTGAAGAGCTCTCCTGAGGAAGCAGCAGACGAACCCCGAGGCTGCTCCACACAGAAGTCAGACGCATCTACACCAACGGCATGTGGGTATCTCCCAAGTATGTAAGCGAGAAACAGCACCACGATGTGAGAACCCCAGTGAGCACGAGAGGAGGACAGAGAGGCCAGAGAACCTTGTGAGCTGCACTCTGTCGTCACCAAGTGGGGCCAGAGGTTAACGGACAAGTCACACAAGGTCACGAAGCCCATTGTGCCAACGGTCCTCCCCACTCTGGCAGGCGCCCTCACTGGCCTCTCTTCCCAGAGACAAACCACCTGGGAGAGGCCATCACAGCCCAGGCACCCATGCAGGGCCGCCATATCCTGACACGAGTGCACAGCAGACCTGCCGTCTACACACGGGCTTCCCCACTCGGATCCCCCTCACCTCACATGAACCAAAGGCTCTTGCGCCCTGCAGCTAGGGTTTACTCCTACTTTTCGGCAAGTGGTCGAGATCGACGACGCTGCCTGCGTGTGACGTGCCCCACGATGGCTCCAGGCGGCTCCGACCCAGGGCCGCTCAAACTTTGCAGCGTGTCACCGAGGGTCACTGCTCGACTGTCCGGGAATGGCTCTCCGATTACTTGTCCCAAATGAACTGCTGGTTCATTCGGCACCCATTCTCTCGGCTCTTTGTGAGAGGGCTGAGTGGCTGTCCCTACCCCCCAGGCGCCCATCACCATGCTTCTCATTCCAGAGGGGAGACCCCTGAGCCCCGGGTGGTCCCGGGGAACTCCCCCCACCCCCCCGCCCCCTGGCTGCAGTATGACAAGTATGACAAGCTGAGGCCCCGAGAGCAGGAGACTCCTTCTGTCTGATCTGTTTTAGGGTCATTCTTCTCTCTGCCTCGTGCCTCCTGTCTCCCCCAAACCATCTTAATTTTTCCATCAGGAGGCCCCAGAACACTGAACACCACAAACTCCAAGAAAACACTTTTCTTCTGACTCCATAAGCTGAGTCTAGGAGGAGAGGCATGTTCAATAATTCTCTACATTTACCTTAACGTTTTTGAGAAGAGTACCATCTCGACCCAGGCCGGGTCCCACGACCAGGGCATGCAGCCGGGGCAGCCACTCCTCCACATCATGAACGGCGCCAGGGCTGTCGCTGCATGGAGAAAGCGAGGCCAGAGCAGCTCAGTCCAATTTGCACTCACTGGCTGGGGAGCCCACACGTTTTTCTGGATTTCCCCAGGTCCTTCTCCTGTTGCAGGACCCAGGCCAGGACCCCAGCCTGCATCCAGCCATACCTCCCCCGTCAACTCCGTAGACGGGCTCATCCTTTCACACCCCAAGGGAGAAATCTAGCTTTCAGCATCTAAACGAAGCTATACTGAGACATTCTGGCTACTTTCCAAACAGTCTTCACCCTCTAGAATGAACCAGTTTGTTTCCATCACACAGAGGTACTTTATGCACTCAAAGGGGCACCTGGGAACCCTGTCACTTAGAATAGGACCTGAGAGCTGTACGGGATTGTGTCGTTTCCCCACACCACCTTCCCACCCATCTCGCTCGACTCTTAGAACCCACCTTGTAAGGCTTTGCCCCCAACAAGCCCATCATGAGATCCAAGCACCTGTGCTTAGTCTCCGTGTCTGACAGGCTGCAGGGACACAGGCCCTTCCGGAAGAGTGCCAACAGTTCTCCAGAATACCCCTCGTCCCCCGTTCCCTGCCCACGCTGAGCTCCCAGCTGCTGCGCGCTGGGCTCTCCCTGCTGATACGCACTCCCGCAGAGCCTCATCGTCTCCTGGCTTTAAACACCTCCCATGTTAATACCCCCAGATCTACGCCTTCCCCGACCACCCCACTCTTGTCCGACACGTCACAGCAATGCCGCCTGGATGTCCAACAGGCAAGGGAAAACACATCCAAACGCCAGCTCCTGATGGTCACCCCCGCCAAACCTGCACCCTCAGGCTCCCCCGTTGTCAAGGGGTAACTGGCTTCAACCAAACCCAGAGCGGCCTCCATGACTCTCATCTTTTCCTTCTACCCCATAACCCACCTGCCAACAGATCCTGGGGCTGCACTTTCAAATGTACCTAGAATGTGACCCCCTCTCCTACTTCTACTCACCAGGGCGCTGACAACTCCCTTCTCATGCAACCCGTGCTCCCACCCTAGGCCCCAAAAGCTCATTCTCCACAGCAGCCGGCTAAGTCTTTAAAATGTACACTGGATCCGTTGCTCCCCTGCTCAAGGGCTCTAGCACATCCCTTCTCCCTCTTCCTCGTTTACACAAAAGCCGAAACCCCTAGGATGACCCCCATGACCTGCACAGCTTGGCCCTGAACCTCTCGGGGCACCCGCCCCATCCTGAGTCCTCAGTGCTCCCCAAAACCCCTTGGCTTGAACCGAAGCGCCAGCCCTTCCCCAGGTCTGCAGGTCCCTACCTTAGTGCCACTCTCTGGGCCCCTGCCCACCATCACCCTAGTGAAAACTGCACACGGGCCACGAGCGCGCACACATAATGCGTGGCACGCGTGCTGCCCACACGGCTGGCATTCCCTGTCTCCTGCCCTGCCCCTCTGCGTGGTCCTCATCACCCTCTGACATCCTTCTCTCTTGCTTGTCCGTCTCCGGAGCTGTGCTGCCCAATAGGGCAGACACCAGCCACATGTGGCTATGTAAATTTAATTCAGCTTCTGAGTCCCACCGGCCACATTTCACGTGCTCAGCAGCCACAGATCTGGACAGCACTGAGAACGCGTTCACTACTGCATAAAAGCTCTAGGACACAGGGCTGCCCTAGAAAGGGGGCTTCACGGGAGCAGGTGTTTTGTGTGCTTGGTTCAATGCTATCCCCGTGGAAGCCAGGGCAGGGACGGACAGTGGAAGCATCTGCTGAACGAGGGAATGGCCGGTGCCTGCTCGACAGGCCCCTCATTACTGCTGTGGGCAGCACAGCTGCAGGCAAGGCCAAGACACTGTTAGGAAGCTTCAGCCAGTTCTGACGGACCACGGGGCAGCCTGGGGGCATAGCGCCCTGGGGACCCAAACCCCTCCCATGCCATACACACACGGCTGCTTGTCTTCTGACCAGACAGTGGGCTCCTTACAGCCTTCTCCTTCTAACAGCACCTACCTACCACCCCCCAGTACAGCAGCCGCTCCACGGAGGGACTTAGAGCCCACAAGAAGGCCCCATGGCCGAGGAGCACAGCTGCAAGCAAAGCACCCCGAGCGGCCCCACTCACAGAACTGGGTGAACAATCAGCTCCGGGCTGTATGACTTGATCACAGGCGCAGCCTCCCGGGTGCAGAACACGTGGGATAAATCTGCACCCTGAGAAATGAGCACAAGAGGCTGACTCAGAGCAGGGCTCGCTCAACAGACGCAGAGGTGGCCTCAGCGCCAGGCCCTCACCACGGCCCTTAAACTATAGCGAGGTGGCTCAGAGGAAAATGGAAGCTAAGAAAAGGGCTGGAAAGAAAGCAGACTTTCGCTGCCACCCAAGAGGCAGGTCAACCCAGAGCAACTCTGGCTGCATCACCCCGAGGGCCACGGGGAGCATGTTTCACATTAACTGTGCCAACTGGGCCATCAGGACTTGATCAAAGGCCTGGGAAATCGCCAAGGCATAAAGACGCCAACTGCTTAAGTGAGGACTAAAAGCGACATTCTAGGATCATGGTGGTGAAGGACAATTCTAATAAAACTTCAGTTAGGGGTGCCTGGGTGGCTCAGTCATTAAGCATCTGCTTTCAGCTCAGGTCAGGATCCCAGGGTCCTGGGATCGAGTCCCGCATCAGGCTCCTTGCTCCGCGGGAAGCCTGCTTCTCCCTCTGCCTGCCACTCCCCCTTCTCGTGATCTCTCCCTAATAAATAAAATCTTAAAGAAAAAAATCCAATTCTGTTGTCACTGCACAAGGTTAGGATAGATTTAAAGGTGTTTCTCTTGCCCATGATTACCCTAGGATATTGAGATTTCTATCAGAAAACATTTCTCTAATCATATTTAAAGAATCCAACTCTTGGGGTGCCTGGGTGGCTCAGTCGGTGAAGCATCTGCCTTCAGATCAGGTCAGGATCTCAGGGTCCTGGGATCGAGCCCCACATCGGGCTCCCTGCTCAGCGGGGAGTCTGCTTGTCCCTCTCCCCCTCCCCACTGCTCGTGGTCTCTCACATGCTCGCTCTCTCAAATAAATAAAATCTTTAAAAAATAAGGAAAGAATCCAATGGTTGACTAGACAGAGAAGCTGTAAATAGACTTACCACTTTGAGAGCTGAGATGGCAGCAAAGTAGGGCGCTCCAGTGTACCTAAAAAGGAAGATAGGGACAATCAACATCCTCTGAGAAGGCCAGCACACCAGGGTTATCAATGGGTCATAAAGACAGGAATCACCGAGCCCAGGGCCCAGCACCTCGTAGCATGGAGCCCAGCGAGGTCTGAGCTCCCAACCCGAGCTGAGATCGAGAGTTCGCCGCTCAACCGACTAAGGCACCAGGCGCCCCTGCCACGGAAGACCTTTATACCACATCAGGACCGCTGGCTTCTCTGCAGCGCTGTGTTCAAACTGGAGGCTTGCAGAGGCTGTGAGAGCTCACGGACAGTGCGGAGAACAGCGGCACACAGCCAGGCGCGGAGACTCACACACCGCCCCACCCCACCCCCCCGCGTCCATCCCAGCATTCCTGTATTTTTAACATTGCTTCCAGCACAGAAGGGGGGAGCAATTAGCAATGGGCAACAACATTTAAGATGTCTCCACTCTGCTCCAGTATCAATTCTGGGAATCGATCCCTTGGAAGTAACCAGATGCACATATAAGTAGAAAAATGTACAGGTATGTCTACATACTGTTTAGTTGGGAAAAAGAACAGAAGTGACTGATCGCCTATCAACAGGGATTGGTTAGTAAGTTACAGCCATCTTTACAACAAATACCACAAGTCCACTTACCAAGAATCGGTCTCTAGGAACCAACATGGAATGACTGATACCCAGGACACCGCACTGAATGAAAAGGAGGTCACACCAGCAAATGGCAAGTATACATAATGCAAAGCCCTGACACTTGTTTCCTCTGTTCTGTAATACAAGTACCTGATGTAAGCTCTGACTGCAAAAGCATCCACTTCCAACACCGCTATCTCAAACGCTTCACCAGCCCAGGACTAGGGGGAAAGCCAGGCCACCCCCACCCCCTTGAGGCTAGTTTGTTTTAAAAATCTTGATTCCAGGGCGCCTGGGTGGCTCAGTTGGTTAAGCGACTGCTTTCGGCTCAGGTCATGATCCCAGGGTCCTGGGATCGAGTCCCGCATCGGGCTCCCTGCTCCGCCAGAAGCCTGCTTCTCCCCCTGCCTCTGCCTGCCACTCCTCCTGCTTGTGCTCTGTCAAATAAATAAAAATCTTTAAAAATAAATAAATAAATGAAAATAAAGATCTTGGTTGATTTCAATAACTGACTATTTGGGCCACTTGTCGTCTCTCTTCCGGTGCTTTAAATTCACCAATAAGGAGTGAACCCTTGAGACCCTAGGTGCCCACCCTCACCCCCAATAAAAGTAGAACCCAAGCCCACATGATCTGTCCACCCACCTCACTGTGTAGCCCCAGTGCTATGTCATTTCCAGATCTTGTAAGTAACACACCTTTATTTTTTTTCAAAGTTTCCTGAAAGTTGTTGCTAAAGGGCATCTTGTGATCATAAGAACCATGGGGGTAGCTCCAACTACAACACTGGTTATTGGCAGGCTGAGACTGGCACAAAACAGTGACAATGTGGTCCAGTTTTGTAAAAAATAGTTACATACACAGAGAAGTCTGGAAGGCTAACAATGTGCCCATGCTGTATTATTATATGGGGTACTATGAGGCTTTCACTTCACACGTTTCTGCAGTGTTTGAATTTTTACAACAAGCAGATAATACCTTTATAATCAGAATAAAGATGACCCTACTTTAAAGGTTAGTTCCCAAAGCTAATGGACATATTTTAAGTTAGATAATTACTCCCTAGCATGCTACACTACCAGACTCATCTGAAAAGAAAGCCTGATGGCCAGTTCTTCCCAGGTTAAGTGTCCCAAAATACAAGGCAGGAGAGAGAGGGGATGTGAGGACTAAAACCCCCGACTCCCCAACTCTCAAGGGGTCAAGGGCCCAAGGGCCTGGCCGAGGCCGCCGCGCTGCCGGCCTCCATCCCAGATGCCGGAGGAGGGCTGCCCTTTAACTGGGGACCTAAAGGAAGACAAGCAGCTAAGAGCTAATGATCCAAGAATCCACAATGCAGTTGGAGAAAAAAACAGATGAGAAAGGAGAGCCAGTAACAGAGGCACACTTCCCTCATCCAAAGGGACCATGTCTACAGACAGAAAGCGTTCACCAAGTCTCAAGTACGATTAGCGAGGATAAGACACACCCGGACACATCCAGAAGAAACTGCAGAATTCTGAAGAAAAAGAAAATCTTATAAACATCCAAGCAAGAACAAGTTACTTATAAATTAAGCAAACTTCTTTTTTGTGGTGCAAAATACAGGCTAGAGGACAACGCAATCACATGATACTTTAGCAAAGAAAATCATGCTACCTGAGAATTCCTAACTCAGCCAAGGCACAACACAGCCCACCCACCACAGCAAGACACAGTGGGTAAGCAAGTACTCCACAGGGTCCCCTGCGTATTCTGTCAAAGAAAATGCCAGAAGAGGGGCGCCTGGGGGGCTCAGTCGTTAAGCGTCTGCCTTTGTCTCAGGTCATGATCCCGGGGTCCTGGGATCGAGCCCCGCATCAGGCTCCCTGCTTGGCGGGAAGCCTGCTTCTCCCTCTCTCGCTGTCTCTGTCAAATAAATAAATAAAATCTTAAAAAAAAAAAAAAAAAGGAAAGGAAAATGCCAGAAGAGGCCAAGGACTCCCACCCCAAGTGCAGACCACTAGGCCAGGCAGGAAAGAGGCAGCAGGGTACAAAGTTGCATGTAGTACTAGGGGCTGCGCTACGAGTTCCCTAGGAGTTCTCAGATCAGTGTTAGCACTCTCCCGAGTGGCTAGTTAGAAAAGGCAAGCCCTAACTAAATTTGAAAGCATAACAGTATTTCCAGATTAATAAAAGGAAATTAATTTCCAGATTAATAAAAGGAAAAACCTAACAAAAATAAGGAAAAAATGGAAACAACGAAAAATGAAGAGAAAACATAACAAGTCTTACAAAGTACATCAGGTAGACTAAATGTAAACAGGTTGATTTACCTTATTAAAAAGAGCAGCTACTGTCACATGGGGTTAAGAAACAAATCAAGCTGTGTATTATTTATAACACACCTAACTATGTGATAAACCGCTGAAAACACACAGCCAGGCAGAGACAGCGCATCAACATGAACAGAGAATAAGCAGTAGCTGAAATGGTAACCAAGGTCGAATTTAAGTCAAAGGCAAAAGTATCATTTATAAACAAGGACAGATTATAAAATTTTATGTGCAAACAACACGGCAGCAAAATCCCTAGAACTAGAAAACAAGTCTTGAAAAAAGGCTAGAATCTGTCAAATTTCCTTAATGGCTTCCAAGAACATCTTCAAATTGACTAAGTAAACCAAACACATGCTGGTTTTCTGCTGATTACAAAGTAACACGTTTATGGTATGTAGCCTGGTCAATACAGGAAAGTATAAAACAAGAAAAAACAGTCCCAGCCCCGAACTGTGAGGGGAGTCTCCACACTGACACACCAGTGAACAGCTCACTTGGGGCCCTCACTGTTTTCTCCTATTCACAAAGTTCATCACTGAAAAATCCCGGGTGTCGGACCATCAGACTACACTGAGACATTACTGGGGTCCAACCAGACAGAGAGACAGACGACTGACTGATAAGCAGGTAGAGAGCCAGACAATAGAGACTGACTGCTTAAACACTAACATTTTCCAAGTCACTTACTCCTGGCAGCCTCCAACGACGCCTATTCTTCCATCTTGGCCTTTGTGCTTCTTGGAAGTTTGAGGAGGTATAATATTTCTCACCAGCGGCAAAGTATTTTCCATATCCTTTATCGAATGTGCTGTATGCAGTGAAAATGCTCTTTGTAAAACTAAAAAACAGGAAAACGGAATCGTTTAGAAAAATATTAGCACACATAAAGAGACTGAAACAAGATAGCCTATTAACCAAAACACTTCCCAAAGATGACTTAACATGGAAGCTATAGATTTTTATCCAATGGTTTCCTTATTTTATTTCTGTAAGCAAATGATGCTTAGAAATTACAAAACACCACTAACACTAGCTGGACATACCAAGTTTGTTTTTGAAATGTATCAGACGTTTCCAAAGTCTAGTTAACCTTTCAGAGTGTTTTTAATGCATTACCACTTAATAAACTACTCATATTCCAGTTCAATCTTCCATTATCAGGTCTCTTCTCTCAAACTGGAAAAGCAACTTCCCATATTCATACTCCCAACCTTCCAGTCATGTTTCTGACACTCAATTAGATACTAATTAAATAACCTAGAAATGGCCTTCTAAATAGAGAACATAGCTTACACTGGGTTCAAAGCGGCATTTTAAAGAAAGATGAAAAAATAAATAAGATGATTTTGAATGGTCTCTAAATAGCTAGATTTTAACTGCCTTTCTAGAAAAACTTCCCTCATTACATATTTGCCTTGATATTTAACCCAGCTCAGCTGTGAGAGAAATGCCATGTTCTATAACATGTTGTGTATTCAAGGTTTGAATAGATACTAAAGCACGTTTTCTCTAGAATTAAAGGGTCTTTGCAAATATACACAATACTCACACAAGGCACCCAACATTCATTTCCTTCCAGTTATCTCAGCAGCAGAGAAAAACCAGGCAGGTGTCACAGTTCCAATGAAGACCAAAAGCTGCCCCAGCTCCATAAGGTAAACAGTTTTATCTTTAAAAACACTCTTAAAATTCTGCTTTTTATTCAACAATTTTATTCAAGTAACTTTAATGAGTAGCTGTAACTGCCTCCTCAGTTGATGTGCCAGGTGCTGAGACCTCCACATGTGAGAATATTAATTACTGTCAACCCAACACTTTTCACCTGCTCCCAAACCAACACAAGACTAAAACTTAAAACAGAATCACTGTAAACCTCTGGCCAAGAAAAGGCCCAACTGGGCTTGCTCAGCCTTGGCGACAGCCGGCTGATCCCTCTGCTTCCAAAGTCTGGTGCCAAGTCTTCTGTCCTGCCCCAGAGGCACCGAGCTACCAGAGCAACCAACCCAACTCTCTCCTCCTCCGCCTAGCTCACTCTACCTGCCTAGCTCACTCTACCTCCCCAGCGCCTGTTCACGCCCCCTCCCAGACCGCTCACTGTCTCCTCCTCGCCCCCGTCACTGTGCACTCCCTGTGAGCTGCAGGAAGAGTACTAGGGCTGCTGCCATCAGATCCGGTGACACATCGCTGACTGCTGAAAAGCATGTCCACAGCCGCAGAAACCTGAACACGTCCGGCTTAACAACATGATCCGCCAATACGAGGATATCAAAGAATGGCCGCGCCTTCAAATTCCTCACATCATGAAACACAGTTGCTTTTTAAAGTCTAGAAACTGTAAAAGTGGAGTCCAAATGTAACCAATCATGCAAGGGGTGTTCTGGGTTCCTTACAATGTTGTGGGTTTATCAGGTTCCAGTACCTTCTATTCAGCACTTCGTCACAGAGTGTTCCTAAGACAGCTACCCTTTGCCGACACAGAATGTGATACAGCTCCCACCCCCGGCTTCAGGACAGGTGTTTCCCCACCCTCCATCACCTCGGAGTCTGGCACAGATCAAGACACTCCATAAGGGTGCCTGGGTGGCTCAGTCGTTAAGCGTCTGCCTTCGGCTCAGGTCATGATCCCGGGGTCCTGGGATCGAGCCCCGCATCGGGCTCCCTGCTTCTCCCTCTCCCACTCCCCCTGCTTGTGTTCCCTCTCTCGCTGTCTCTCTGTCAAATAAAAAAAACCTAAAAAAAAAAAAAGACAATCCATAAATGTTTGATAAATTAAAAGCACCTTCATTTATTCTCATTAGTGGCCGGTGTATCCTTTTACAGATAAGGAAACTAGAGCCCAGAGACACAGGCCTGGGAAGATGCCTGGGGTAGTAATGGATAAGCCAGACCAGAAGACACCATTTTACCAAAATGCTGCCATTTTACAGCAAATCATTTTCCCTTAACCAAATAGTCACCACACCAACCAAAAGACAACAACGATCAAGTCCTTCTCAGTTGCCCCTAATAACCATTTGGGAGGAGAGAATAAAATCACTTGAGAAGTATACCATTTTCACTGTTTAACCAGTGTGTATGGATGCAAAGTAAATCCACTGCTCACCAGCCTCTGTCCCATCCACCTGAGACGAATGCCTTGTTAGCAAAGGGCCAGATGAAGGTCAATTACATCTCTCTCCACTTCACTCAGTTTCAGCTGGCTTACTAGCATGCATCATTGGACTTATCCACAGAAATATTTAAATATAAACACAGTGTTCTCAAGGATAAAAACAGCTTGACAAGAGGTGATTTAAAATTTATCCCATTACCTAACTTTATCTTCAGGACAATCCTGAGTCTGGAAGAACAGATCAAACCCGTCTGATTTTTGTTTTATGGAAGTGGCGGAGGGAGCCTGGAGATGGAAATGGATTTCTTCGGCCTGGGCTGTCTTCTAGAATTACCACCTACAACGCTCTGGGATAACCCTGCGTCTTCCTGCCAAACTGTGCTCCAAACCAAAGGGAACCACAGCTAATCTGGAGCAGCTGACAGCAATCCTTACAGTACCCGACAGGCCCTAAAGCTAGGATGGGAAGCCAGTGCTCTAGAACTCCACCTGTTTTGGGGTAAAAGTTCAGCAAATCAGCCTAATAATAAAACCTTGAACAAATGCCAAGAGAAATACAGCTAGTTAATCACAGTGTGCAAATTCAAGACAAATGGCTACCAATAAAAAGTCTGAACTGACCGGAAGCCCCTCTGCTGCCCGAGCGAGTAACGGAGGTGCAAAAGCTAAGAGACCCCTCAATGCCTCTCAAAGCAACTGGCACCTGCAGCTAAGGTAATGCTGTGTCAACTGTACTCCAATTAAAAAAAAAAAAAAGCATTTGGAACTATCGTGCGGAAAAACAAGAAGCCAAAACTCCCTAACAATTATTCTCTGCTCTGCACCACTATATATACGTACGTAGCAAAATCTTTTTACTATCCTAGCAAAAGTGAATTTTAGCATTTCAGCTAGTTATTGGCTGGGAACCGCGGATGGCGTAATTTTCCTATTTTCTCAGGGCCTCTAACGTTCCACACAAAGGTGGGTAAACAAATCTCTCCACCGTGTGTGAGAAATGGGATAATACAATCCACACGAATGCACACGTTCCCTAGCGGTCTAAAACACATTCCTGTATTTTACGTACATCATCCTCCACCGGGCAAACAAGGGGAGGACAGAAAACACGTTACGACGGGGTACGGGACTCCGGATAAGACACCCCTGTTTCTTACACGCCTCCATTCTTTCTACACCCCCCGTCCTGGTTAATAGCCAAGGCCGGGGCGGGGTCCTCGGGGGTCGCTCGGGTGAGCCCAGGTGCGCCCCGGCCCCTTGCCCCGCGGTACCGGCGCTTCCAGCCCCCCCCCGACGCGGAGGCGGCTGTGCTGCGGGTCGCAAGCGAAGCCCTCCTCGGCCCGACCGCACGAAGGCCGTACAACTCCTCGCGGCCCCCGGGCTCCCCGCGCGAGCGGCCCTCGGCGGCGCCCCCCGTCCCGACGAGCGCCCGCGGCCAGGTACCTGCGTCCAGCGGCAGCTCGTAGAGCACGAGCGCGGCCGAGAGCAGCGCGACAGCGGCCGCGCCGGCGAGCACAGCCCCGGCCCCCGCCAGAGGGGCCATGCCTGCAAGGCCGGTGTCGCTCTTACCTCGGCGGCAGGCCCCGGCAGCCACCCAGACCGGACCTACGGCCATCGGAAGCCGGGCTCCCGGCCGCCCCCGCGCCGCCGCCGGAACCAGAGCTCACGGCGGACTTCCGGCTCCCGACCGCCCACGCGCCGTCGCCGGAAGCCGACCCTCAAAATCTAGCCTCGCCCCACCCACAGACTGGCCTCCATCAGTCATATACGGTCTCTGATGATTGACAAGCTCAATGCCCAACCCCGCAGGGCCCCAGCGCCCGACCCCTGGAGTTTTGCCGGAAAGCAGGTTCCGGCATCTAGATGCGTCTTAGGGATTCAGTGTTTGGGTTCTTTGTCTTGTTCCTGCTTGGGGCTGGGGGCGTTATAGAAAATGGGGCAGAACGCTGCGCAGTTGACAAGCACGCTACTCTGGGAAAGCAGGTGGAGGGCCTGGAACACCACCTTTGCGCAGTCCGATTTCTGGGCCGGATGTGCTCCCTGGACTGCAGGCTGGTCTGTCCAGCGGGGTGGCTCCCGCGGCGCTCCCGGCCCCAGGGAGCGGGGGCGCCGCCGTTCCAGCTGCTCGAGTCAGGAACGTGGAGGGCATCCTCTCTTCCCGCCTTCGCCCTCCCGCATCCCTCCTCCTGAGGGCCTGCCTTGCAGAGGCTGCTCTCAGGCAAACAGGCTAGAGCCAGGGAAGGTAGGAGGGCGCATGGCGACCCCCTGGCCGAACACAGCCGGGCCCGTTGGGGGGGCGGGGGGGAGTGGGGGCGCAGTACAGAACAGAAACGTGTTGTTTCACAGTTCTGAAGGCCGCAAGTCTAAATTCAGCCTTCTGGTGGTGGCCATCACTCCTTCGCGTTCCTTGCCTTGCAGCTGTGTCCCTACCATCTCTGCCTGCGTCCTCAAATGGCATTCTTCCTGTGCGTCTGTCCTCATATGGTGGTACTTTCCTCTTATAAGGACGCCAGTCATATTGAATTAGGGCCCCCTCTGATTACCTTATACTAATTTGGTCATCTGCAAAGACCCTACTTTCAAATAAGGGTACACTGATAGGTACTGGGGGTTGGGACCTAAACAGATCTTGGGGGGTACAACTCACCCATAACACCTAAATGCGCCTCCTTACTTCCCTACAGCAACAGAAAGATCATGTCACTCCTCTTGAGGTAGTTTTGAATGTAGGTGAGGTTTGGTAGGGTAAGGTCCCCAGCCAAGCACCAGGAAAGGATTCTTGAGACTTCTTCGGTGCAAAAAGGTGATTTTACTAAAAGCATGGGGACAGGACCGAGTGCAGAAAAAGCTGCTACACCGGGGTTGTGAGGGGTGACTCATTTTATACTTGGGAGTTGGGGGAGGTAAGGAAATGGGAGGTTTTCAAAAGAACTTTCATACGCTAAAAAGGATCTACAAAGATGCTGGAGACCTTGCCATTGTCAAGTTAAGGTTGTTTTTCCCACTAGCAAGGCATTAACATTAAGACTGTTGGGAGCTTCCTTCCAGAAGTTAAGGTATTGTTAAGAATACTCTTAGCCAGGGGGGTGGGGGGATGGGTTAGCCTGGTGATGGGTATTAAAGAGGGCACATTCTGCGTGGAGCACTGGGTGTTATGCACAAACAATGAATCATGGAACACTGCATCAAAAACTAATAATGTAATGTATGGTGATTAACATAACAATAAAAAAATTATTAAAAAAAAAAAGAATACTCTTAGCCAGGGTTCCTGGGTGGCTCAGTTGGTTAAGCAATTGCTGTCTCAGGTTATGATCCTGGAGTCCCGGAATCGAGTCCTGCATCGGGCTCCCTGCTGAGCAGGGAGTCTGCTTCTCCCTCTGACCCTGCCCCCTCTCATATACTCTCTCTATCTCGTTCTCTCTCTCAAATAAATAAAATATTTTTAAAAAAAGAATATTCTTGGCGGGGCGGGGGGCGTCTGCCTTTGGCTCGGGTCAGGATTTCCTGGTCCTGGGATCAGGCCCACATCTGGCACTCTGCTCAGCAGGGAGCCTGCTTCTCCCTCGCCCCCTGCTTGTGCTCTATATCTCTCTCAAGTAGATGAATAGAATCTTAAAAAAAAAAAAAAAAAAATGCTTTTTTTTTTTTGGTAAGATTTTTTTTGTTAGAGAGCACAAGCAAGGGAAGCGGCAGAGGGAGAGGGAGAAGCAGGCTCCCCACTGAGCAGGCGCCTGGGGCTCCATCCCAGGACCTCGGGATCATGACCTGAGCCAAAGGCAGACGCTTCACCGACTGAGCCACCCAGGCGCCCCAAGAATGCTTCTTTCTTGTGAATCACTAAGACATTCGTAAACTGAGGGAGACTCCTGTCTTGCAGGACTCTAGTCTCTCTAAGTTAACCATTTGTTTTTCCTTCCCTGAGCTTTAGGGCAGCCAGGAGTGCCTGAGGAATCACACATATTCCACCTGGTGGGGGGGGCAGGTTGTGGGTTGTCAGCTTGTGCTTTGTCCTCAGCTTGCCTTCTGTTCCCTCATCACTCCTCCAGTGATTTCCCATGTTGGAGTAAAATCCAAAGTTCCTTTCTTCCAAGGCGTTCTAGCTCCTATGTGATCCGTGCACCTCAATCCCCTGCCACTGCCCTCCTTGCTCTCTCTCCTGGCTACACCAACTTCTTTGCCCTTGGTCTGCCTTGCCCAGCCTGTTCCTGCTCTCCCTTCTGCTGGCGTGCTTTCTCCTGATATTGACATGGCGTGTGCAGGCAGCATTTTATCAGTGCCAAGCCATTCCTGACCATTCTATGTAAAATCCATACCCCTTTTTTCCTGCTTCCTGTATTATTATTCTCCTTAGTACTTCTTACTATTTGACATATTTGCTCATTTATCCATTCATTGTCATCTACATCACCATCACCATGTCTATAGAAGTTAGCTCCAATGGAAAACCTTTATTTTGTTCTGTACTATATGCTCAGGGCATAGAACATGGCACACAGGAGGTGCTCTCTCTCTTTATTGGGACATAATTTACATAACAATAAACTTCATTCATTGTAAGTGTACACTTCCATGAGTTTGAACAAACGTATATAATCATGTAATCACTGATGTGGGAAACAAAGGCAAAAGAAAAAATTAAATTTCCTTACTACTTACACCCCATTGACAGGTCCTTGAAACAGGCAGAGGGACCTTCCTCTAGGAGCTCAGCTGCCTCGATGTTGACACTTTGCTAAGGGCCAAAGGTAATCTTAGCCAAACTCCACAGGATCCTGTGAGTCTACTTTAGACATATAGAGATTCCTTTGGAAACTTTATCTCTACCTCCCAAGATACAGGTTAGTAATCGTCCTCCAAGCATGTGGCCCCTGATATACATCTGAAGAGTCTCAAGACTGCGGGTTTACTAAACAGTATTAAATAGTCTTTTCCTAACAATAGCTAGCCCCCTCAGGATCCTGGAAACCTTATTTCGAAAATACCTTGGAGGCTTGTTCTATCCCTAACCCCTTCCCAACTTGAAAGCATATAATCAATCACCCCTCACAACCCCAGTGCAACTCTTTCTGCCCACAGGTCCTGTCCCCCTGCTTTAATAAAACTGCCTTTCTGGGGCGCCTGGGTGGCTCAGTCATTAAGCGTCTGCCTTCGGCTCAGGTCATGATCCCAGGGTCCTGGGATCGAGCCCCACATCGGGCTCCCTGCTCAGCGGGAAGCCTGCTTCTCCCTCTCCCACTCCCCCTGCTTGTGTTCCCTCTCTTGCTATGTCTCTCTCTGTCAAATAAATAAAATCTTTAAAAAAAAAAACCTGCCTTTCTGCACTGAAGATGTCTCAAGAATTCTTGACTGTTTGCTCCTGGACCCCAACATTTCCTACATTAATCACCACCACATTAGTGATTTAGAACACACCTATCAAGACACCCCAATTCAGGCTTTTGTTTCTATTATTAATGTTATTTTCTTAATTTTAATTTTTAATTGTTCATTGCTCATATATGGAAATACTATTGATTTGCATATATTGACATTGTATCCCTTGACCATGCCAAATTCACTAATTATTAGTTCTAGCAGATACTTTGAGGTTACTTGGGATCTTCTATATAAACAGTGTCAGTTTGCCCATTTTTTGGTGATATTAACTTCATTAAATTTCTGGGTAGCCACCAAATTATTTATTACCAGTGTGAACTCCTGAATTTTTATTTTACTCAACAAAAATCTATGAATTTTTATTTTATTTATTTTATTCAGAATTTTAAATTTTATTTATTAACCACCACATTATTTGTTACCAATATGAATTCATGAATTCTTATTTTATTTCATTTATTTTATTTACATCTTATTTCTTGTTACCCTTTTTTATACTTTAAATGCAAACATATTTAAATATTTACATTTTTTTTAAAGATTTTATTTATTTGACAGAGAGAGAGAGTGACAGCAGGAACACAAGCAGGGGGAGTGGGAGAGGGAGAAGCAGGCTTCCCATGGAGCAAGGGAGCCCGATGTGGGGCTCGATGCGGGGCTCGATGTGGGGCTCGATTCCAGGACCTGGGACCATGACCTGAGCCGAAGGCAGACGCTTAACGACTGAGCCACCCAGGCGCCCCTTAAATATTTACATTTTGATGGCTCATCTAGGGACCCCAGCCTCAGAGCCATCTCTAATCCTCACGGTACAATCCTCCCCACAGAGCGCAGGGAGGCAGTTCCTTCTCTTGTGCGGGCAGGGGCCGGGGAGGGGAGATCTGTGCAAACTTAGAAAAGTCGTGCAGATCAGTTAACGGGAACCTTCCCTACTCAGCTATGGCGTTGTGGTGTTGGCACTGCCCTGGCCGGGAAGTAAGTAAGAGAGTGAGGGCTCACTGGACACTGGCCTGTGTCACTGCATTGTTCTGATTGGCCTTCCCAGGCCAAACGCCACAGGGACTGGAAGGTAAGCGGTCTGAAATGCAGGCACCCACTTCATTTCCAAACCTCACCTCTGAACTGGAACACATTTGACCCATCTCTCTGGCAACCTCCAGGGGTGACCTTCACCTTCCAACTGTCTTCCCCCGGCTCCTGGT